TTTTTTTCTGTCACAAGGCTTGGTATCACGTGACCTGATCTTTCTGGGAACAAGCTGCGCTGTCAATATGAGGATACAGAGGCCTTCTTTATCCTGCTTGTGTATCTTTCAGTGTGCTGAAGGAGTCACGCTCTGAGCTATCGGGAATGGCTTTAACTTGCACGGCACTTTAGCCGTTTCCAAAATTGACTGATCTCCTCTGACTTCCAGGGCCATCCCGTGATGGAGACAGGATTGAGTTTTGCTCTGCTTATAACTGGGCACGTGTCCAGAGTCTGGCACTTGATTAAGGTCAAGCTTCTCTGGAACCTCCCAAATCCAGGGTTTCTTCCTTGAACCCACCCTGGGAAGTGAGCCCATGGCGACCAGCCTCCTTGGCCTCAGAGTAGCGACCTCCACTCTCCCCAGCAGCATCTCTCTTCTCTTGCACTGCCTGTGCCGTCCAGCCTCATGATTTATAAGATTTAATCAGGGTTGGACAGACACAGTTTTAAAACTTAGGAAGCGCAGCACACAGACTGGCTGGTAGAAGGCTGTGACTGGTTGAGGGATACTGTCCTTAGAATAAATTAAGTCTAAGAACAAAAGATGTGCTTAGCAGTTCGTATTAGTAATAAGAATGGCTTTTCCAGTAGTGTTTTTTCTTTTTAATGTTTAAGTGGAACCGTTCCAGTGTTGTTTTACCTCCTGAGACACAATGGTCTTATTATTTGTCTGCAAGGTTTATCTGCATATTTTTTAACCATGTGTGTTGTCTGCAGTTTCACTATTTTGAGCTTCCCATCCAAATCAAACTCTCAAACTGGGAATTGGCTTGCTAGAGTGTCAGCACTTAAGTTAAGCATCACCACGTGTTAATAACCTTGTTCTACAAAGAGGTAGCTGTCATCAAGACTGGAGTGGCATCTGACTTTATTTTCCTCAGCCAGGCCTGTCCTTTGCAAGCTTTGCAGAGATAAAGCTCTCTGTGTATTTAGAGCCTGGATTCTGAGGTGCCAGATTAGCCTTTGTTTTCTATCCCAGCACAGACTCCTCCCGGCGGAATCCTCACTGACCCCTACACAGTGGGCTAGGAGCTGGGTTTCCTCCCAGGCCTGGACTAGGGCTCACAAGGGAGGCAGTTGTCTCAGCCAGGAAATAGAGGTGGACACCAAAAAACCTCCAGATAAATAGGATTTTAAGGCAATGCATTACATTAAAAATAAATGCTTAGAAATCCACAGTAAACATTCATCAGTATTGTCTATAGAGCATAGGGGTTAGATGGAATGAGGAAGGCCCAGGCCTGTACAGGCAGGGCCCTCATCACTTACCCCTGTTGCTCTGCCTTCTGGAGAGGAGACAAGAGTCTGAATGTCCAATTGTGAGCTCTGGGCCAGTTGGCTTTTGTGGGAAATAGTTTACTGAGCTCACTTAATTAGGGACTTTAGTGACTAAGGAGCCCCTGAGGGGCACAGATGCTTCAGTATTCCACTACTAGCCGGAAAGTTGGCAGTTCAAACCCTCCCAGTGCTGGCTTAGAAAATAATTCTGGTGGTCTGCTTCTTAATGGCCCCAGCCTTGAGGCCCTGTGGAGCACAGCTCTATTTTGTAGACATGGTGTTGGCATGCAGGGGAAATTACTCTAGGGCAAATAATATCAACAGCGACTAGGGATTGTAGGCAAGTCACGGGCATGTCACCAGGGCCTCAATTTTCCTATGTGTC